CGCCTCCCAGGCTCCCATTCTCCTGACTCAGCCTCCCGAGTAGCTGGGACTACAGGCGCCTGCCACCACGCCCGGCTAATTTTTTTGTATTTTTTTTTTTTAGTAGAGACACAGTTTCACTGTGTTAGCCAGGACGGTCTCGATCTCCTAACCTCGTGATCCGCCTGCCTCAGCTTCCCAAAGTGCTGGGATTACAGGCATGAGCCACCGCACCTGGCCCACGAAAGGCACCTTAAAGCCTCCTTGGCCCTGTTTCCAGGGAGACAAAGGTAACTAGACTCTTGGTTCTGTGTGTTATTACCAACAGACTTACCCCCAGGGAGCCCAGCACCAACACTGTCCTCCTTCGGTAATGCAGATGTTAAGGGACGCTGCGGGCTGGCACAAAGCCAGACCCATGGCTCCTAGGGAGTCAGCTTTGGACTCACTGCAGAACAAGCCACAACGCCATGTCCCTGGCCTTGTAGCTGAGTTTTACTGACCAACCCAAACCATGTGGTTCCCAAGCAGCCCTTGAAGGGCTGATCATATCCAACTGTCCTGCCCCACCCCGGCCTGCTTACCTCTCTGCCTCCTCTACATGCTGCAGATTGAAAAGCAGCGATGGGACGATCTTGTCCATGTGCTGTGGGTCCCAGATATTGGCCTGCAGTTCATCATTCACCGTCTTCCTCACCACCCCTTGTAGGCCTTTGATGCCTGACATTCGAATTCTGTAAGGAAAAGGGTGAAGTGGGACTCGGAAGTCCTCCAGTCCTGAGAAGTCCAGCTTCGGTGGTTAAGAGAGGAGCGCAGCTTGGGGGTCAAGGATACATTTGTCCATCAGAAGGCAGAATGGAGACCACCTGCTACTCTCATGGGACCTCCTGGTGCTGGCAGACGTGAGCCCAGGAAGCCATGTTTTTTGATTCATCTTGGAGACTCCCAGGCTGCCCTTGCCTTGATACCGTCTGGGCTCCAGCCCTAGGGTGCTGGGTGCTCCAGCTCCCCGTCTTTAGTACTTAGCTGGGGTTGTTCCAGCTTGGGCCCAAGATGTGAAAGCTCAAAATGCTACCAAGAACTGATGAAGCAGAATCCAAGACTGTGAGCAATTTGCGGGGGCAGTGGGAGGTGGATCCAGAGGGCGGGGCACAGAGCTGCAGGCTCTCTGGGGCACAAAGGGGTTTCAGCTTGGGGCTAGGCTTAACCAGAGGGGAAACTGAGTAACAGCACAGCAGGAGCCCCTTTTGTACACCCCCAGTCTCTGCTACGCTAACCCAGGGTCAGCACAGCCCTGTGGGAGGGAGCCCTCTTTACTGGCCATTTATTTCAGCCTGAAGTTTCTTTCTTCCTTTCTTTTTTATAAAGCCTTTTTTCTGGTTATAAAATAATACATGCTAATCATAGAAAAGTAGAGAGAAGAGAAGATTTACCACTTCCACCACCACTACCACTGTTATCTTTGTTATCAGAGATAACTGTTATTGGCATTTTGATGTAATTCCTTTCTTCTGTGCATAATAGATAACAGAATTAAGAACCTATTGCATATTTGATCTGTAACGACTTTTTTTACATATATTCTGTGCATTTTCTTGTGTCATTAACTCTTCATAAACAAGTTGAATGGTTGCCTGATACACTATCATAAGGCCTTTCTCAACTAGTGACTAGTAGTCATTTAAGTGGTTTCCAAACGTTTTGCTTTTTTTTTTTTTTTGAGATGGAGTCTGGCTCTGTCTCAGGCTGGAGTGCAGTGGCGCGATCTCGGCTCACTGCAACCTCTGCCTCTCAGGTTCAATCGATTCTTCTGCCTCGGCCTCCTGAGTAGCTGGGATTACAGGCATGTGCCACCACGCCCGGCTAATTTTTGTATTTCTAGTAGACACAGGGTTTCACCATGTTGATCAGGTTGGTCTCGAACTCCTTACCTCGTGATCCACCCGCCTCGGCCTCCCAAAATGCTAGGATTACAGGCGTGAGTCACCGTGCCTGGCCAAACGTTTCACTTTTATAATAATGCTGTGATGGGCATCATTGTATAAAATATTTTACTACA